AACACTATTCAATTCGTTTGTTTTGTGAATTTTATTTTAATTAATTATTGCAATAAATTCAAGAATAAATTCTTACTAAAGTATATACGTGTACAGTGCTAATTCTGCTATTTATTGCTAATTTTGCTATTTTCTTCATGTAAATTTCCCTATTTTTTTGCTAATGTGCTAATTCTAATTCGCATGGATATTCCCTAGTACGCGCGCCATTTGTATTGTTTACAGTGACATCTAAATTGCGTCTCAACAAAAAAATGAATTTTACTCGTGAACATTTTCGTGCGATAATTTACTACGACTTTGGATTGGGTGTATCTCAACAACAGTGTTTTGATCAACTTCATTTGGTCTTTGGCGATGAAGCTCCATGCAAGGCCACTGTATATCACTGGTTTACTGAATTCAATCGTGGTCGTCATTCGCTCATCAACGAATTCCGTGAAGGTCGTCCAAAATCGGTTGTTGTTCCAGAAAATAATGGATGCTGTCAGAAACATGTTAAAGCAAGATCGTCATGTCACATACCGTGAGATTGAGGCATCCTTGGGCATTAGTATGAGAAGCATACACACGATTTTTATTGTAAAGTAAGCTGCAGAATAATAGATAGAAATGAAACGAACGTGTGTATTCTATGAGTATAACAATTGAAGTGAGGTCGAAAGGAGGTATATATGACGGCTAAGCCAATTCTACGTACTAAAATTAAAGATTAAAAGTTATGCAAACGAGTGGAGACACTGAGAAGCCAGTGAGAGTGCTCTGTAAGAACTCAAAACATTCGAGAGTTTGAAAGAATATTGAAAATTGTCGATTTGGTAGAGGGGCATGTGATTTGAAATCATATTAGTTCGAAAGGAGGTATATATGAAGGTTCAGCCAATTCTACGTACTAAAAGTCAAGACTGAAAGTTATGCAAATGAGTGGAGACACTGAGAAGTCAAAGAGAGTGCTCTCTAAGAACTCAAAACATCCGAGAGATTGGAAAAATATTGAAAATTGTCGATTTGGTAGAGGGGCATGTGAGTTGAAATCATATTAGTTCGAAAGGAGGTATATATGACGGCTAAGCCAATTCTACGTACTAAAAGTCAAGACTGAAAGTTATGCAAACGAGTGGAGACACCGAGAAGCCAGTGAGAGTGCTCTCTAAGAACTCAAAACATTCGAGAGTTTAAAAAAATATTGAAAATTGTCGATTTGACAGAGGGGCATGTGATTTGAAATCATATTAGTTCGAAAGGAGGTATATATGAAGGCTAAGCAAATTCTTCGTACTAAAAGTCAAGATTGAAAGTTATGCAAATGAGTGGAGACACCGAGAAGCCAGTGAGAGTGCTCTTTAAGAACTCAAAACATTCGAGAGTATGAAAAAATATTGAAAATTGTCGATTTGGTAGAGGGGCATGTGATCTGAAATCATATTAGTTCGAAAGGAGGTATATATGACGGCTAAGCCAATTCTACGTACTAAAATTAAAGATTTCTTTTTGTTTCCGAGCGTAAAGAAAAAATTGCGTGGTCAACGATTTTCGACGCCAGAAGAAGCAGTTGATGCGTTCAAAACACACGTTTTGGAGATATCGGTTTCGGAGTGGCATGAATGCTACGGCAAGTGGTACTTTGAAAAGCAATAAAGCCATTTTTGATAAAAAACGATTGCGTTGTATATGCTTTTCTACAAATATATGGAGCAGCCTACGTATATGCAAATGAAAAAGGCAACTATATACCTTACAAGTGGTGAACATTTTATTTTAGACAAATCACACGTTAAGTGTAATAAATATTTTGAAATGGGTGATTTCCATCACGACATATGTGTACTAACGCTTGCCAGACGAACAGAAAGTATAAGAGAGCTTCCTTTGGGCTGTGGGAGTAGTGAAGACACGTTCAATGTCCTTGGCATAGGATATACTGCTCTCATATTTTTCATGAAAGATTTTCACCAATATATGATGATGGGAATTGTGGAACGAGCCGATATAGAGAAATGTGCCAGTGTAGAAAAGATAGTTTGCGTACGATTTCAAAATACGATGGGCATATCTGAGTCGGGGGACTCCGGTATGTGTGGTGTTATTTTCGCAATCCTGAACTTCAAGTTGATATTTTTCACATTTCAATCATTCATATTCATAGGAAGCCCGCTCATCTATACACATTTAGATGGCACGCAGGTGGCAGTTGGACTATTGAGTTATAAATTAAAACCTTACATGGATTATACCGACATAAAAAAATATTATCGTTGGATTGAAGAACAATTTCCTAATAAAGACGGACCCAAAACTCCAACTTGCTAACCAACAACACCCTAATTGTAAGATCTGATTGCTACGCAGATCGCATTCATCGGCAGGACGGAGAATATTACACAAATGTAATGGTTAATGTTCGCAATCATTTTGAATTTTTTTTGACACGAAATTAAATTTTTTAGTTTTTAATCATTGGAATTTCCTCTTTTAAAAATAAAGCTAAAGTAAAATTTTATATGTACAGATTTATATCACTATTACAAGAGTATATGCTCTATAGATGGCTCTTTGAATAAAAAATAAAATAAATTCACTATCCTCATTCAATATTTATTTTCAATTTCTACATAACATTATTTTAAAATATTTATATTTTTCAATTTATTCGTAGACATTTTTCTAATAATAGGAAGTCTCGTCAAATATGTGTAGCCCCAGTAGAATCTATTCCATTCAAACGAGCTGGATCGTTTCATTTCGATCAAGCTCAAATTTGTGGTTCCATTTTTGGTGGTCCATTTCGTTGCCATGTAAACCGTGTGTGGTACATAAATCGTAACTTTTCGTGCTCCGGCCAATTTTTCTCGTTCTGTATTCAACATATCCAATTGAAGAATTTCTGACGATTTAAATTTGATTAACTTCAATTTTTTTAAATTTCTCAATTTTTTAATGAATAGCAGAATATCGAACGTTTCTCTGTATACGTAAAGACGTTCGACATTAATTAGATTCTCTACTAAGGTTTCATTTTTGGATTTACCAGATTTTCTAATTATTTCATTCCATAAAAAACGTTTCCCTTCCCACTCCCCTGTTTCAACATATTCGATCAAATGGTTCGAATACGATCCAAGGCTACGGTAAAAACAATCGGTGGAAAATTGTTCCAAAAATGGTATTGAGGGCAATTGATGATCCATTAAATCGTTCAACTCACTCACATGTAAACGCTTATAGAAACCATGAATTTTTTTGTCTATATCTTCATTGAAATCGAAGCATTTCAACTCAAATGTATCCAGTTTAACTTTAGAAATGAGTAATGCATCTGTATTGGCCGAAAATGTCAGTGAATCGCATGAAAAACTACGTAGATTTGGATTGCGTTCGAAAAACTCATCAAGTTCATCTATTTTCTTTTTGGGTTCCGTGCAAAATTCTAAACGCTCAAGCTTTTCGTATTGTTTCCGTAGCCATTCAGTATATTTACTTTTGTTATTTACTCGATTTATACGAATACAACGCACACTCCTACAATACTTTAGAAAAATATCGTAAAAGTCCTAGGGGATATCCATGCGAATTAGAATTAGCACATTAGCAAAAAAATGGGGAAATTAGCAATAAATAGCAGAATTAGCACTGTACATGTATATACTTTAGTAAGAATTTATTCTTGAATTTATTGAAATAATTAATTAAAATAAAATTCACAAAACAAACGAATTGAATAGTGTTGAACTAAAATGTATCAAAATATGTAGTTAAATACGCTTTTTCCTATTTTTAAATATATTTATATTCAATGGCACGTAACCAAGCACGTTCCATCTGTATTAACTGCAATTTACGAATTGCAATCGGAAATGTAAATTTGATGACAGATTTCTTACTGAAAACGTATACGCTAGTGCCTGCTTCAAATATACACGTTGAAAGTGTCAACTTGAAACATTTACGTAAACACATTTCGGTTATTCGATCATGCAGTCAATCTGACGTATGCAATATTTTTGACATACTAAAATAGCAGTATTAGAACAAACTAGTAGAAATACTAGCAGAATTAGTGAAAAATAGAGAGAAATAGCGTTTATTATAAATTATTCGATCTGCAATTCATGGTTATCCCCTAGGTGTTCGCTTTGCTAAATTTCATTCAACTTCGACTTTTAGTGTGAAAATCGAAAAATTGACATTTCTGTCCCAAGAAGTGTGTCACAAATTCAAATGATGACATTTTTGGGAATCACAAATTGGTCACTAAAATATGACACCATTTATTTAGATCTAAGTATTCGCTTTGAAAAATTTCATTGATTTACGACTTTCACTATGAAAGTCGAAAAATTGACTTTCTGTCCCAAGGAGTGTGTCACAAATTCAAATGATGACATTTTTGAGAGTCACAATTTTCGATAATAATTCTTTTTTGCGCAATTTTCACTTTTTTGTTCAAAAAATGTCCGCCAGATGTCGTATCGAAATTTTCAAAATATTTTTGGAAATCACAAATTAATCACTTAAATACTGCATCATTAGTTTTTTGCAATTTTGTTTTATTTCGAATTTTTCAAAATTTCATTTATAGACTTTTTGATGAATAGGCTTTTTCAAATTTACGCCTGTAACTTTTTTTCTGGGTAGTGTGCGCCTGTAAATTTCATTTTTTTGCGAAGTTGACCTTTTCCAACTGACACCGTAGCGATACCACAAAACTAAATTTTTATAATTTTAATTCGTCCTGTTAAGTCACAAGGTCATGAAAAATGTCCAACTTTACGAATATGACAATGGTTTGCATCGGGCAACAGTAGGTTTGTCAATTCCCGATATATAAATAGTGTACCTCGTATAGTTTTTTTGTTCAAAGAATGTCAATACTAGTGTTATTAGTACATTTTAAAAATTCAAAAATTTGGAATAAACGAGTAAAATTTTATTGTTTCGGCATACATTTTCTGATTTTAGCATGCAAATTCTCGAAAAGTAATAAAAACAGTCAGATAAAATTCAATTTGCGATATCGGGTAAAATAAAATCCGTTATTATTCAGTCAGACTGAATATCTTTATTTTTCATTTACATCCTATTGATACTGAGCGAAAAACGACAAAATCTTTGTATAAATTATCGAAGCAGCATCGGTGCCCCACAAAAAATCAATGTGATTGAAATCTTTTTCATTTATGTTTTGCACATAAGTAGCGGTGTTATTTAGCAGCGGTATCAAGTTATTCACATCTTTTGGACTGACTAGTCTATCAACGGGCGAATAATGTAGAATCATTGGTGTTGTGATGCGCCAAAGTTTAAAATTTTCTGGTACCGTTGTGTCTATCATAAATTTTCCAAAATATCCATGTTGAATTTCCAAACCGAAGTGGAAAAATTGATTTATGGATGAACCACCTAACTATCGAAAAATACTTATTAATTATTTACACTTCGGCTTAAATGTATTATGTATGTACTCACTTGGCGTATGGCAAATGAGAGCAGGCAACATTGTCTACAAAGAAAGAAGTTTATTTCAGAATGAAAGTGATGCAGTTACCAAATTTCTTACATCATTCCTTTGGCTATCGCTTGGACCAAACAATATTTCCATAACATTGCCACAGAAATTCACTAAATCAATTTCACATATTGGAGCCGCTAGGTTTTTCATCGATTCTCTTGGAAGAAATTCCGAATTCCGGAATAACTGGAATAAATTTCATTAAAAAATCATACTAAATTTTATACATTGATCAGGTGGCTGAGATAGATTCTTCTCCCACCAAAAATTCCACTCAATCAGTCACTCAAATATGACACTCATTTAGTTTTTTTTTTTTTATTTAAGCGTGTCCACTTTTCATACGCTCTTGCAATTCTAGATAACCTATTGACCAATCAAATATTTGTATTTTTTTTATTAATAAACAACATTGCTACTTTAAATGACGCTTTGCCGTTTTCAAATGTGGTTTACTTCAAGTTTGATTTATTTTTAATGTTTGCTTACCTCTAAAAGGGGACGAGTGTATGTAAGCCATCGTAATAAATAATCAGAATTATTCATATAACTGACTGGTGCCATGAGACTTGCGGCATGGACTTTTTCATTGTATTCTGGCTTTTCGGAAAGTAAAACAAGGAGTGTCGCAGTCCCTTGTGAGTGTCCAACGTAATACAATTTCGTGCTTTCTGTTTTATTCAAAATGTAGTCAAAAACAGCAGGATGATCATAGATCCCCATTTCATACCAAGAAAAATCCCAAAATCCACTGGTTGAGTTATCAGGATCTTTTGTAATGTGATTTCGCGAATATGTATTACCTAGGGGGGAGACATGAATTCAAAATTTGGATATACTAGAAAATTAGGGAACATTAGAGAATATTGAAAGCAAATTAGGAGAAATAGGTAATACTATATTCCCTCTAGCTACCCCGTGAATTTGGGATCCATACGTCATACGCTGAATCCGCCAAAATATAAGCTGAAATTATGAAACGCATTGATTTAAGTCACTTCTTCTAAGAAAATCCGTGCTCTACTTACATAAAGATTGTTCTGGAATATTGCTTACAAAATCGTCCTGCAAATATAAGATATATCATATTCATGAGTAACATTCAAACAAACAAATAATTTACCGATGAAGCCAGAAGACCGTGTTGTAGTATCACCGGCTTTTTTTTAATCGATCGATGTATTTTTGAATTGCATCGAAACATTGTTAAAATGTATCCATCCTCTGTAATTACTTTGTGTTCTTCGGCTTCGTATCCATAGTATTCAATAAGTTTGTCCTAATAAAAAATAGAATTTCACTATAACCAAATTTCACTATAACCAGACCACATTTCAATCTCACCGTTCTTAAATCGCACAGTACTGGAGTTATTGGATTTTTGATATTTAAAACGTTTGCAAAACCTTCAGTAACCAATTTGAGCGAATCAGTAAATAATGACATAAAACTTGGTTCCGGTCTCGTATGAACTTCATCAAATTGAATTAATATGAAAATCACACAAGTCAAAACTAACAACTTAAAATTTGGAAAAATCATGTTTAAACGAGAGTAATAGCAAATCGTATGTTCGACTGAAAGACGCAGCACAAATATATTTATTTGTGATGTATGATTTCCTCGAAAGTGAATTCTATAGAAATTGATTGATACTCTAGGGTATGTAATACGACCTAACTTATCAATATGATTTCAAGAACTGAACATACATCTCAACCAACCACATCGTTAATAGATGGAATAATCTTAAAATGTAATGCAATGACTCATTGATATTGACGCAAATTCAATAGATGAGATTTTCAATTAATTACGCTGAAATTAAATAATACAGTTCGGATGAGGATGTGATTGTTGAAACCGGTATTTGTTGTTATGACGTTAGAATAACAACACAATTTACTCATATGTTTCTGTGATTGTCACGCTGTCAAGCGGCAAATGTTAATTCAACTATGATTTAAAAAAAAACATGTATAAATGGAATTCAAAACTTTGTTTATTATCACAACAACAAAATCTATTTAGCCTATCATTATGGTCAAGGTCATTTTGCAAATTCATTTACATACAACTAAACATATGATTTTTGCCAATACATCAGCCACATAAACTGATTTGAAGCTATTGTACTCAAAATTGCGGTTTGAAACTTTTAAATAATATTTTGCGAATATGTTTTAATATGAATACACCGCCAATAACATTCCGATCATTTACAAAATGAACGATGGTGAAATGAAACTAAGCATGCTGTAATTCGATTGGTTTTTTTAAATAAATAATTAATAATATTTCGTAAATTAATATAAATATGTCAAAATTTTTAGCAAGCTGCTGATAAATATTGACACGAACCTAGAAAGTAAGAGAGAGAGAGAGAGAGAGAGAGAGAGAGAGTTTCATTTCACAAAATTGTTAACCTACCTCAAAGGTTGGTTGCGCAAAAATGATCATATCAAAAGCTTCTATACACAAAACACATACAAATCATGTGTGATAATCGAATGTAATCAAATAATTTCATAAATATCTTGAACTTGACTTCTCATGCGGTCAGGAAATTTACACACAACTGACGCCATCCGTTTAAAAATAAAATTCCCATATTTATTATTATATTTTGTGGAGAAATTAATACAGAGAAAAAAAAATCGGCGAGTATTCAATGACTGCGGGAAATTACATGAGCTAAAATGAGTTTATTTCCAGTTGTAAGTATCTCTATATTTCTCTTGTATTTTACCTAGTATTTTATACAGCTGAAAAATATTTACATTACACCATAAACGTCAAAAAGTTAAATTCACGAATACAATATGAAAAAAATGATTGATTTTACATATAAATTGATCCAAAATGACATTTAGCATTTACAAATTCATTACGAAGCGTAGTAATGGGCTGAAATAAAGTGAAAACAGAGAATTTAAGGTCCAATCTCAAAATCCCGGCTCAAAAATATAAATCGGCTCAAAAATGTTTTGCCTTCACAGATTTATGATGGAGCGTGATAGTGGCCTGAATTATGGCTGAATTCGGTGAACTAAGGTCCAATCTCTATTTCCCGCTTGCTAACTCTTCAGGTGTAGTACAAAACTTCGCCGGAATTGGTGATTGAAATATCGATGTTTTTCTATATGAAAAATGATTAATTTTCCATATAAATCGGCTCAAAAACGAAGTTTGCCTCAACAGATTTGTTACATAGCGTAATAATGGCCCGAATTATGGCTGAATAATATTTTTTATATGTTGTGATGTTTCTGCATTGAATATGCACTATGCATGGTTTTGCTTTGACTGATATTATTTTTCTATTACAATCGATACTTCGTTCAAATGTCTTCAAACATCACATGTGATACGAACTTAACAGGTTTCATACGAAATATGCATAAGTCAAAGAAAAAGGATCCAAGCATACGTACACCGCCGCATGGTTACATACACACGCAGACTCATTCTTCTCAGTTTGCTCACTTTGATTTGCATGTCGAAACAAGACGGTAAAACGAATGCATGTATCATGCGGCGTATGTATAGGCTGTGGAGTGATCCTGCCGCTACTCGATCGCATTTCAGAAAAACTAGTCACAAGCATTGGGCAGACAGTTTTACATGTATCGGTGAAGTGAGTAGTTGTGTTTCAGTTTTATAGCCAATTTTCATCTATTGTTTTTTCCATTGCGTCTCTTAGTAAGCGTGCATAAAATTTTGTTTTGTTACAATTTATCAAAAGCAACAAAAATAAGGTTTCATATTTTGAATTTGAATTAAATCAAATACCTGTCCGAAAGTAAAATTTTGAATGTTCATAAAATAATAAACGGAAAATAAAATACAAAGCAACATAAAAAAGGCGTTATATATAAATATATATATAAAATAAATAGTAAGTGATCATAGATTTATTTGAAATTTTCAAAAAAAAGAGAAAATTCATCAGTTTATCTCGATGTTATCTTTCCTCGAGCCTAAACGGTTCTACATATATGGTTCACACATACAAAATGATATATTTGCACAAATTGTGTGTACTAGTAGATTTGTGCAAAAATGTGTGGCTGATCTCTCTCACTCTCTATCTCTCTCTCTTTAAAAAAACGAATAACACAAAAAAATACTTTTTTTGAAACACCATTTTATTTAGTAAGATGTGTCGCGAAGAAGAAAAAAGATTCAATTTACGACGATTTCACCCTTAGAATAAGACCAATGAAAACGTTTTTTTTTCGGTGTAACTTTTAACACTCAAACATAGAAGCAACGTATGGCATGCATTCGAATCGGTGTCGCTGAAAAATGATCGCATCAACACATATACATGACATGCATACATACGGTGAAGCACACCTACATGTATACGTATTTTATACACACCAGATTTTCGATTCGCTCGATTTTGCCATTTGCGAGAGTACCCGTGTGCAGCACTGAATTTACTGAATGCTGTGCGTACCTGTAACAACAACACATTTTCAGTCCCTTATTGCACTTTGCTCTGTGGCAAATCGGTACACCTGGTGTATTGTATATGGTTTTAAATGGTACCTGCGTTGTTTCTCTCTTTCTCATTCACTGCTTTTTCTTATGCTCTATGCACACATTGATAAATTTGGATTTCTGTATGGAAGCCATGTCTGTATTCTACCTAATGGCGTTAAACTTTGCACAGGTTTTTTTTTCACAAAAAAATAACATTCGGAGGGTTTGGAGAAATTTCAACCAAAATTAAGGGTACTTCCCATATAAAATTTTGTTTTTGAGCGAAAAATCCAAAATTTTGTTCGGAAGGTACCCCTAATTTTAATTGAAATCTCTTTAAACTTTCAGAATGTTATTTTTTTGTGTAAAAAATAGCCTGTGCAAAGTTTCACGTCATTAAGGTATCATACAGACATGGCTCCCATACAAAAATTCAATTTTTTTGTGATTTTTTCAAGGAAATTGTATCAAAAATTGATTGTATCTCAAAATTAACCTCGGATTCGATTTTCTCGTGCCAAAAAATCCCCCAATACATATTTTTGAGTGTTTAAGTCTACATTAAGTATGACTTTTGGACGAAAATTGGACTCTTTTTCATAGGTATCTTTACAGGCATGCAAATTTTTTTCCATCAACCAAAGTCGCTCAATTTCTATTCCTCGGGACCCCCAATCATCCTGTTAAGTCAGATTTTGAATTAAGTTTCTACGATGAGCGCAATCTTGCTAACAAATTTTGCGTACGACGTACAACGTACAGATTAACATAAACCATGCTCAAAACGGCCTGATTCGGGTTCTCTGACCTCAGAAACGTCCAGAAAACATGTTTCTGAAGTTTTCAAAATTTTGACCGATTACAATACCTTTCACCTTACACTATGTGTGCGGAAAAGTAAAATGATTGATTTTGAAATTTTGTACTACACCCAAAGAGTTAGCAAGCGGGAGTTTGAGATTGAACCCTAATTCAGGCCATAATTCAAAGCTCCCGTGTATTGCCAGAGAATTGATTTTTAATGTGATTAATTTTACTTTGCCATTCGATCGGATAAATGCGTTTCCAAATTGCATTATTTGCAAAATAATATTTATCGAATTTGCATTTTTGGTCAAACTAGATTAGACATTCATAACTAAAAATTTAAATATACTTTTGTGATGATCTTACTATTAGTAAAATACATGTTATTGTTTTAACACTGCTACTTAATAAACAATACAATACAATTTTTTTTACGATAGAGAAAATGAACGATGACGTAGAACAACAGCTTATACAAACCTGGGAGCGAATTTTTGATGTAGATGATGTAGATCGAACAATTCGAATCACTTATACTGAATCACTGCCAGGAGAAACGTTTGATGGACATGTGAGTATATTAAGTTTATCGATGTATAAATTGTTCAAGAAAAATGTGTGAACTATCAACAAATCGTTTATTGTTATTCTTTCCAATTTCAGTATGTTGCAGAAGATGTATACAAATATTTCAAACAATTTGGCGAAATAAAATCAACTCTACATTATGGACGTTATGGCAAAGGAAACTATGCACTTATTGAGTTTAAGTGTAAAGAAATTGCTGCTCAGACGGCGATGCGGCAACGATTCATAATCAACGGTTCAAAATTCAAAGTTGAATCTCTTAAAAAAACTGATACATTAATATACGATCTGCAATGTATAGATCTTGGAAATAGTATTCCTGTTCATCCGTCAAAGAGCGATTCACCTGAAAATATTCTGATGGCTTTGAATAACGACTGTATTCGATTGGTATTTGAAAAAATATCGAATATCAGAGATTTTTATTCGATTTCAAAAGTTTGCAAACAATTTGATCAAATCGGCAAAGAGATTTTTTCGTCAAAAATAAAACGGGACGGTGTTGATTTAAGAGAATACAGACTCTGTACTGAACAACAAATTGAAAAATTTTTACGCGACTTTGGTTCTTCAGTTGAATCATTAGAATTCAGCGAATATTATATGGAGAATAAACCAAATTCAAATACTCTTTTAAAATTGTTTCATAAATATTGCAAAAATCTCATTAAACTTGACATTCAAGTTTCCGGTGTTGAAAATCAAACGGTGGCTGAGATTCAATCATTACTCTCGAATTTAAACTGTTTACACTCGAAATTTGTATGTGATTCTGATTTCGGATCATTCGATGATTTCATTGCATCTTGTTCTCAGTTGGAAATTTTGAAACTATCATGTTGTTGTCGTGCATCCAATTTATCAATGGCAAACGTCAACTTGACAAAATTAATTGAATTCGATTTGATGTCTAAGAACATAGGAATTGATGCATTTTTAGAACGCAATCCACAAATTGAAAAGTTAAGCGTGCGTGGCTTTTTTTATCTGAATATGCCAAAAATTCAGCAATTGACTTTATGTATTGAAAATGAATCCATTACTGAAGAACAGAGCCTCCACTTGAGAAGCTTGAATGCTTCGACAATAAATCTAGATATATCACTTGATGATTCGATCACTAATATTTTTCGTTTGAAAAATATTCGCCAGCTCACACTTAACGTTAATTCATCATTTAACGAGGACTATTTAATTTTATTGGCCAAAAATGTACCATATCTTGAACGCATATCTATTTGCCACCAATCAACTTATAACATAGATTTCGATATGGTCAAAAAAATGTTACGGCATGCAAATCATTTGGTAGATTTAAAAATAGATTGGCCTGAAAATGTCATTCAACACTTTGATGAGAATGATTATGATGATATATTGAAACTCGTTAAAAATCGTGCCAATCACATAAAATTGGACATTAAATTTACTAGTACAACAACATTGTTTGTCAAAACTAACGGGCTTAAAAAAAAATTGATGAGATTTGAAACAGATTCCCAATACTTATGCGTTTCGAATTATTACCAATATTCGATTTGGAATTAATGTCGATCTTATCTACAGAAGTTACATTGTCAGTGGTGGAGTAATTATAGAATAGTTTTATGCATTTTGTTAGTTAGATTTGGTATTGTCTCCAATTAAATCCAATGAAAACTCAAATTCTATGGATTTAATTGGTGGCAATACAAAAAAAAAACCAACAAACTGATCGCAAAATTCAGCAACACAAAAATTATAGCACAAGTGTAGTTTGAAAATTTGTTCTTATCTTACTTTTTTAGAATTAAAATAATACACGTACTATGTAAAAATATTAGACTATGTAACAGAGAAAAATTGTAAAAGAAACATCAATGTGAAAATAAAAACAAATACGGTATTTTCAACAGACTACAATCTTATTTATCAAATTTTACTTTCGCATTGTCCATGATCTTGATCATGTGAAACAGTGTTGTCGAAAGATAAAATTCAAAATATTTTACACTTTTTCTTCAAAGAAAATCAACACCTGTATTCATCCTATCTTGGCAATGTATTTTTTTTAAACAGCTTCATATCAGACGTGAAGGGTTTATATATAATATCTAACACATTTCACAGCTTTCACATAGAATATTGTTTACAAATTTTGAAAAATCAAACATGCGCACTGGAGGATTTCGGGATTTAGAGGTGAACGGTGTATCTGTGTCATCACCCGATTGTATTACAAGATCAAATAATGCTGGCAAAAGATTCGATTACATTGATAATTGGACCGAGTGTTGAGAAGAAAATGAAATCAGGCAGACATGGTAAAGCATGGTTGTAATTTAGACACAGGAAAAAATTTACGGTAAGTATGACTGCTTTTTTGTTAACATTTGTTTCTGTTTGTTTTAAATGGCACTTTTCACTCTACAATCACATACACCACACGCGTTCATCTTTTTGTTTTATCACTGTAGTTTCTCTTTCTTTCGAAATATTTACCCCACACCATAAACATCAAAAAGTTATATTCACGTATACAAGAAATAATTGATTTTTATATATAAATCGATCCAATATGACATTTTGCATTCACACATTCATTACAAACGATATTTTGCTCTATGAAAAATGATTGATTTATTTATTTATATACTTTATTTGTATCTTTGAAAAAGTTACATCAGTGGATATGACAAAGTGCTTTCGAGACGTGCTTAGATTGGTGTATCGAATAAATCTACTCTTAGTAAACACAGATGGCAAAGTCAAAATTATTCAGAGAGATACTGTCAATTGATATAATTCAGAGAGATACGTTGAGTAGAAAAACTGTTGTTGCCGCAAAATTGGAAATCCAATTTTTTTTCTGTCTCTCTAAAGTTTATAACTTGAGAGTGTGATATGAATTCTGTATAGATGGGGTATAACTTTTGATTTTTCCATCTGTGTTTGCTAAGATCAGAGTTTTGCGCAGCGCTGCTGCCATCCAGAGCATATTAAAATATCTTGCTGAGAATGCGTCGTCCGTCGCATGCGAAGGTTTGTAGCAGTTTATACATCACAGCGAACAACAATACATGCATTGTTCTCTATTCAATCGTTTGAATGTTTTGAGTCACATAATCGTGAAGAGAACAATGGATTCATTCTTGTTCGCTGTGATGTATAAACTGCTACGTACGTTCGCATGCGACGGACGACGCATTCTCAGCAAGATATTTTAATATGC